GCCATCGGATCAGCGCGGTGCGCCGGCCGCAGCGCGCTGGCCGCGGCGGCCATTGGAGGGTGAACCAACGGCAAAGGAAGACCTTTCTCTCTGTCTCTCTCTCTCTCACTGTCCACTCTGCCTGTCAAAAAAAAAAAAAAAAAAAATTGAGCACTACATTCTAGGAATAATTATGGGTCCAGAAATATAACAGTGAACAAAACAAAACTTTAAAATCCTGTCCTTGGGGCTGGTGCTGTGGCGTAGGGGGTAAAGCCGCCACCTGCAGTGCCAGCATCCCATATGGGCGCTGGTTCAAGTCCCAGCTGCTCCACTTCCGATCCAGCTCTCTGTTGTGGCCTGGGAAAGCAGTGGAAGATGGCCCAAGTCCTTGGGCCCCTGCACCCATGTGGGAAACCCGGGGGAGGCTCCTGGCTTTGGATCAGTGCAGCTCTGGCCATTATGGCCAACTGGGGAGTGAACCATCAGATAGAAGATCTCTCTCTCTGCCTCTCCTCTGTGTAACTCTTTCAAATAAATAAGTAAATCTTTAAAAAAAAAATCCTGTCCTCATGCAGTTTATTCTACTAGGGAAAGCAAACAAGCCTAAACTGGACTCACGAACATAATAAATTTGGAGCTTTCGAGGTTAATACCCCTTAGAATAAGTACTATACAAAAAAAAAAAGTTTTACCTTTTTCTTTCTTCTAATTTATTTTCCAGAATTTTCATTTCACTAGTTAGAAAGCTATTTATGTCCTTACCAACAACCAGATAAATTCAGTTTTTTTGCATACTATCTTGCCTATTGTAAAAATCTATTTCCTTCCTTTTTATCTCAAAGTGTTTTTTGGAATTGGGTCAGCCTTTCCAAAATGATTACAAAGGGTGACTAGGCTCAGGAAAAATGAGGCCAAATGGTACAATGAAAAGAGAAGAGGTTGGAAATTAAACAAGGCCTGAGTTCAAATCCCAACTTTACAAATTTTGTGACCTTGGGCAAGTTATTCATTACCTCCAACCTTCAGTTTACCGATCTATGAAATGGTAATAACTTCACTCTAAGGAGTAAAAGGGATCATTTTTAGAAGGTGCTTGACACAATACTTGGAAAAAATGGAGCAATGGTTGCAGCTGCTGCTATGACAACTACTACTACTATTACAGCATGCACATAGCACAAAACAGAAGCTCAAAAGATGGTTATTTCCTCTGCTTTTCTTGGGTAGCTATAAGGCTCCGAGTCACTAGGTTATTCTATTCTATCCTCCCAGAAGTTCTGCATAGCAAGAACTTCATAAAACTGAATACATATTGATTTTATAAATGAGCTTAATATCTGTAACTTGGTGGGATATATTTGTGCTCCAAAGAAAAACTTCAATGGTGATGCCATAAGTAGAAAAAAAAAAGATCCCTGAGTAATGAAGATTCACATAAAAATGAATGAAAATGGTTCTGTCTTACAAATAATACACCAAAGATTTATAGTTATTTTTGCTGAACTGACACCATTAACCTTACTCTCTGTAATTAATCATTTCTGAAGCAACTTTCATTAGGAAAAAAATTGGCTAACTTACAACCATATAATAAGCCAAATTTTGTATCATATCCTCAAGTTGTCCTGAGGAATAAACAGTAAGATACACATGAACATGCCCGGCCAAGTCCCTGGCAGACAGTATGCACGCAGTGATGACTTTAGTGAAGCCCAATCCCCTTGCTATCCTACATTCCTTTCAATTAATGAAAAAGACCTATACTGGCAATTATGAGACAGGGCATACAGATCTAAAAATCTTTAAAAATACACAAGCTTAATGCTATTCTAAACCAGGAAGGAATTCATTTAATACCTTTTAGTTAAATGACAAAGAGGTGTATAAACCACATCAAGATATATACCACCTGGGGCCAGCATTGTGGCTTAGAGGGTTAAGTGACACCAACATCTCATACAGGCACCTTTTCAAGTTCCAGCTGCTCCACTTCCCATGCAGTTCCCCGCTAATGTGCCTGGGAAAGCAGTGGACAGCCCAAGCACTTGGGCCCCTGCAACCATTTGGGAGACCCAGATGCCACTCCTGGGTCCTGGCTCCAGCCTAGCTCAGCCCTAGCCATTGTGGCCATTTGGGTAGTGAACCAGCAGATGGAAGATATCTCTCTGTCTCTCTCTCCCTCTCTCATTCTATAACTCTGCCTTTCAAATAAGTATTTAAATATATATATATACACACACACACACACACACACACCCCACTATGATCAAAACCAACATTTCATTCTTTGCCCAAAAAATCCTCCAACTAAAATTTAATACAAGTCTTTTTAAAAGACCAGAGACATAAGTTCCTCCTACTTCCATTCCAGAAGCCCACAAAATATAATGGTATCACCAAGACCACAGTCATAATTGCTCACTTGTGAAACAGCACGGATAACAGCTGGTACAAACTCAAAGGAATAACCACAATAACTAGAGGAGTCCCTTCCCTCACATATGACATCATTTGAGACAACCAGTTTCAGGACTCTCTGTGCCCCATAAGTGGCTCTTCTCCAATCCTCTGGACTGCCCATGGGGACACTCAGAACTCTCTCTCCCCATGGCGATCTCCCTCATAGATGGCGTCAGCACTGACATCAGCCAGGTGCACACCTTGAGAGCATCCCAAACTCAGTGTGTGTAGGATTGAACTCATCTCAGATCCATTCCTCCTGTGTCCCTGTGACTGTTAATGGCAGTGTTGTCCTCTCCATCACCCAGAATAATATCTAGTTTTATTTTCCTCATCATCCTACTCTCTCTTCCCAACAGTAAACCAGTTTCTTAAAGACCTGCTCATTTTACCTCTACAACACCACGCAGCAATCCGTCCCTGCCTTCACACCCTCTGCCATCTCCAGCTCTGACTATCACTGTCCTAACCCGGGCCAACAGATCTCACCTGGCTTCCCATCCCCTCTCATGCTCAAAGTGAGCCTACCTACTCTGAATATCACAGATAGACTGATCTTGCTGGGGTCTTCCTGTTGCGTAAGGTGAAAAAGTACTACAGTAAGACCCCAAGACTGACCCTGCTATGGCCCCTCTGCCCTGCCACATCGTCCTGGATTTTCAGAACATGAACTCTCATTGGAGCCAACCATCCACTCACTTGATCTTGGAAGCTCCTTACATTCAAAATGCTCTGGCCTCACCTTAAAGTCCACTCCAGCCCTGACCCCCAATGTAAAAGCCCACAATGTCATGAAAATAAGAGTAAACTACATAAGCCATTCCACTGCTCTTGGACTAAAGGTTGAAAGCCTCAATCCGACTGGCAGGTCTCCACTTGCCCTGCCCCTGCGTATCTCTGCAGTCCTGCCGTGTTCCCCTTCATTCTCCCTGTTCAGCCACCCCACACTCTCTCCAGCCTGCCATGATCCTACCCATCCCCAAGCCTAGAACTATGTCTGTCTTGCTTACCACTCTCAGAGGCGTACTCAACAAATATGTGCATATTAATGTGATTCATAAACCAGAACACCCTAATTAAGTTACAAAACCAGCCCCACCTTTGACTGGTCCTCAAGTCACTTGGTTTCTCCATCCATAAAACTCGACTTCTCAATACTCTGAGTTCCCTGGAAGATCTGACGTTACTGGAGTCTACAATTTTACCACTCCAAACTTCTCTCACAACTCTCTTCCATAGAGGTAGCAACAAAATTTTGTTTGCATCCTCCCTCCCATCTGGAATTTTTCCCCCTGTGTAACATTCCCAAATCCTTAGTCTCCAATACTCAAATCCATGGTTATCTCCTTCTCAAATCTCCCTCACACCCCCTAGCTAGTTACAACCTCTCCACACTAAATCCTACAGGTTCACTGTCTCTTTCTGTTCTCAGATCAAATGTCACTTTAACTTCAGAGAGACCTCCTAAAGTCACCGGCAGCTATAATTCTCTATCAGGTCACCCCACTTTTATTTTCATAGCATTTACCAATATCTAAAATTATCCTGTTCATTTCTTTGACTTATTTATTAGTAAGCAGCCTGTCAGTCCCACTAAAATATGAAAGCAGGGATCTTGTCTGTCTTGGTCACCACATTTCCCCGCTCTTGCTGATCAGACATGGAAAAAGTGCAGTAAGTAACCACCACAGGCATGAATGACTCTGTAACCCTTATGACTAGGGTTATCTGTGTGCATATCTTTCTCCTGGTATATTCCAAACTCCTTGTGGACTAGGCCAAAGTCTGGCTAATCTATTTGTTTGAGTGTATTATCCAGAAAGCCTTGCACAACTGAAGCAAATAACAGATAACCGCTAATTAATTAATTAATGATCTCTCCAAGAGGTTCTGCTCCAAACTGGAACTCCATATTGCCCAGAAACCAGGGCGAACAGGAATCTCCTTCCATCCTCACTCCCTGACAGAACCTGTTCTACTCTGCTACATCCAGTGAGCTTCAAAGGGTTGGTTTCTTCACTTTCCTTTAGCCACCAGCCACTAGTTCTTCCATCCCCAAAATCTCACACTGCTATCCTCTCCCTTCCATCTCCATCCAGCCAACAAATCGTTTCAACGGTCCAGTATCTTAAGAAACCCAAATCTCCAATCAGTTGGGGAACCTATCAGGTAGGGCACACGGGGATGTTAACAGAATGTGTTGAAGTAAAACAGGTTCACTCACTTTTTTTCCGATATCTCATTTATCCGAAATAGACCTAGTTTCAGAGATGGGCTTTGATACTCTTGGGGAACCCAAACATTCTTCCAATCTAGCCCACAACACCCAAATACCTCTGGGCAGCTCCCCACTCCTAACTGTACTCTTTCGCCCTACACAACAGGAAGACCCCACGCCAGAGACGATGATCTCCCCGGAAACAAATGGCCCTCCCACATCGCGGGGCAGCCCTCCCCACTTTCTTTGCAGCACGCGCCTCTGGTCTGGGGCCGTCACCGGCGCCCCTCAGCTCCCGCCTCCGGCTGGGCCCGACCCTCCACCACCACCCCCCACTCACCTGAAGCGGCCCCCGCAGTGCTGGCATTGCTCGCCCACCCAGCCGGCGGGGCAGACGCACTGGCCGGTGCCAGGGTTGCAGCGGCCGCCGTTGACACAGGGCCGGTCACATTCCTTGGCCTCGGCTGCAGCGGAGCCCGACACCGCCGCTGCCGCCGCCGCGGCCTCGGCCTCCGAAGGCAGTAGCAGCAGCAGCACCGGCAGCAGCAACAGCAGCAGGAGCCGCGGCGGCAGCGACGGCGACAGCAACCACGGGAGGCGCAGCCCGGCCCCCAACCCCGGCCTCCCAGTCGCGGTCACGTCCCAGCCCCGGTGCCGCCCGCCGTTCCTGCCCGCGGGCGCTGCCGTCGCCGCCGTCCTCCACCTCAGCCTCGCCTCAGTCGCCGCCGCCGCCGCCACCATCTTCCCGGGGCTGAGACGGCGCCCCGCGAACACATACACACACACTCACACACACACACACACACTCACACACACACACACACACCACACGGCCGGCTCCGCTTCGCCTGGCCGTGCGGGGCGGGGCTATGTGGACGGTGGCTCGTGCGGTCAATCCTGAGGGCGGGGCCAGAGCTGCGCGTGGGCGGGGCCGGAGCGCGCGCGCGTGCGTGCGTGGGCGCGGCGCGGCGCGAAGATCCCGGTCCTTGAGCGCAGGATGCTTGGGTTTGCTGCTGGCGCGAGATTCTCATGTTCGCCCTCTGCGCGGGACGGCAGGCAGGGGAGCAGCCCCGAAGCGTCTCCCTTTCCACGGGGCCGCTGGCGCCCCGGCCGCCCTCTTGACCAAGCCGGTCGCGTTGCGTGTGGCGCTCACTGGAGACTGCGCGCTCGCCTGGCTGAGGGGCCTTAGGCAGTGTGCCGTCGGCTGCAGTCCTGTGGAAGAAGGAGTGGTGCCTTCGAGCCCTTTTGAAATAAGGGTGACCAAGTGACACGTGTGTTAAGAAACCGGCATGTAGGCTGCGCCTGTGGGACAACTTTGAGGTTACCTTACTCTCCACTCTGACCTCCAACCATCTCTGAAGAGAGAGCAACAGAATCAGGAACTGGCACACCCTCAAGCTACTCAGGGGTCGTGTCTGGTACTCTGAGACTTCAGTGACCCCCCCCCCCCCCAAAGCAGTGTAACCACGCCATGCAGTCTTCCACTCTGGAATCTGGACTGAGCCTGCGACTGTTAAACCGGTAGAAGGATGTAATAGACATTGCAATGTGTCAGTTCCAGCTCTGAGCTTTTAAAAGACCTGGCAGCCTTCATTTTGAGCTCTTAATAGTCCTAAACTGCTCCCCCTCTACCACCCTCCTGGAGAGAAATCCCCTTACAGAGACCAACAAGTAGGAAAGACCCCATCGTAGCTGAGAGGGCAGTCCCTGCGTGAAGAAGCCGTCTGAGCTGTTCCACACTACCCAGAACAGACACAAGTCTTCTGTAACGTACCCAAAATCCCGAGAACTGATAAGCTGGTTGCTAGTTTAAACCTCCAAGTCTCAGAGAGGTTTGTTGCTCAGCAGTGGAAAACCGGACACTGTCTGACACGACCCTTGGGCTGTGAGGAATATTCCTAAGGTAATGACCTTGGAAATTGGGCACCTCGCAGTCCTTGGAAACAAAAACCCGCATACCCTCAATCTGACCTCAGAGCTCAAAATTCTAAGATTTAGATGATAAGGTTCTTGGATTCTAAGATTTAGGTGGTAGCCCCACACTCTTGCTCAGAGTGAGGTCTTACTCATCCCCTTCAAATCTGGTGACACTGAACTGCCCAGCAGCCTCCCTCCCAGCTCACCACCCACACATTCCCACAGGAAACCCATTGTTTAGCCCAGGCCCTAGAGCTGGCATTCTGGTTTGCAGGTTATATTTTTGCTGGGCTGTGTAGAATGAGGTAGGGAAACTGAAGCTAGGTCCCTGTCCTCTGGCAGCTCACAGTCAGATAGGGGAGGCTGATGTGTGCAGTGCAGTAGCTGTGGAAGACACTGCTCTCCCTAGGCTTCCAGCTCAGAAACAGATCCAGCCCTTTTCCTGCCTGTCCACCACAAAACTGAGGCCAGGCTGCAAAGTTCTCCATGATTTTACCACCACTCGCAGGTAACAAAGAGTTTACATCCACAGAGCAGCCATCCCTGTACTGCATTTGGCTGCCCTCTCAAACTGGAGAACCTTGTTAAAGCAAACCTGTTTCCTATTTCCTTCATCTATTCCATCCTCTGCTGCTTTTTTCTTAGTCTTCCAGCATCTTCCAATTGTTCTGTCCTAAAACAAACTCTGACCTGTGAAAGAAGTATTGCTGCTGTCTTCTCCTTTACTGCTGTTGTCAGAGTCCGCTATACTTTCTGCTTTTGTGTAGTCGTTCAAAGATAGCTATGAATTCTTTTACACTCTTTTGGTGAAGAGATGGGGCCTAATTCCCCCACTCTCCAAATCTGGGCTGGCTGTAGTGATTTGCTAGACAAATTGTGGTGGAAGTGGTGTGCTGGGACTTCTGAAGCTGGGACCCAAGAAGTCTTGCAGATTCTTCCTGAAAGTCTTGGCACATTTGGTCTGCAGCAAACCAGCTTCCATAAGAAGCCCAGCTGCTCTGAGACTGCCAGGATGGGAGGAAGCCAGCTCCTAGCTGTTCAGATCTTCCCAGTTGAAGCCCCAGACAGTCATGAAGCAGGGGATCTCATCCCTGCTAAACTCACACCAAAATGCAGATAAATGAGCAAAATAAATAAGCATACTTCTTTCAGCCAGTAAGTTTTTGGGACAGTTTGTTACACAACAATAGAGTACCAGAATACTCTGTAATCTGCTTTCTCCAAAGACAAGAATAAGCCTGGTGAAGTAGATTTGATTAAGAATTCATTAAAAATGCCGGCACCGCGGCTCACTAGGCTAATCCTCCGCCTAGCGGCGCCGGCACACCGGGTTCTAGTCCCGATCGGGGCACCGGATTCTGTACCAGTTGCCCCTCTTCCAGGCCAGCCCTCTGCTGTGGCCAGGGAGTGCAGTGGAGGATGGCCCAGGTGCTTGGGCCCTGCACCCCATGGGAGACCAGGATAAGTACCTGGCTCCTGCCATCGGATCAGCGCGGTGCGCCGGCTGCAGCGCACCGGCCGCGGCGGCCATTGGAGGGTGAACCAACGACAAAAGGAAGACCTTTCTCTCTGTCTCTCTCTCTCACTGTCCACTCTGCCTGTCAAAAAAAAAAAATTCATTAAAAATGACAGATTAGGGGCTGGCATAGTGGGTAAAGCTACTGCCTGTGATGCCAGCATCCTATATGGGTGCTGGTTCAAATCCCAGCTACTCAACTTCTGATCCAGCTCCCTGCTAATGTGCCTGGGAAAGCAGCAGCAGATGGCCCAAGCACCCATGTGGGAGACCCGGAAGAAGTTCCTGGCTCCTGGCTTCAGTCTGGCCCAGCCCTAGCCATTGCAGACATTTGGGGAATGAACCAGCAGATGGATGATCTCTCTGTGTCTCTTTTTTTTTTTTCTCTCTCTGTAACTCTGCCTTTTGAATAAATAAATTTAAAAAAAAACCATCAGAATGACAGTATATATAAATGCATAATATCCAACTCATCTATGCATGATAAGTTGTAAGTTCTGATTTTATTGTCCAGTCACTCCTCATGGAGGAATCACTGTAGCTCTGGAAACATCGCTGGTGCCCTCCACATGCCTTATTACCAATTTTGTGTGGCTGCTCTACCTGAAATCCTGTGTCACCTTTCTTTTCCTAACTAATCCTTATTAAGGTGGTCATTTCCAAGCCTCAGAAACTAATGCCAGTGGCAAAGAATACTCATACTCTAATTTGAAATCACTCTGAGTTCAAACTCTTTTTTAAATATTAAATAAAATTTTTTTAAATATTCTATTTATTTATTTGGGAAGTAGAGTTACAGATGGAGTGACAAAGAAAAGTCTTCCATCCACTGGGTCATTCTCCAAATGGCTGTAATGACCAGAGCTGGACAGATCCAAAGCCAGGAGCCAGGAGTTTCTTCCAGGTGCCGGGAACCAAGCACTTGGGCCATCTTCTACTGCTTTCCCAGGCCATAAGCAGAGAGCTGGACACGAACCAGTGCCCACATGGGATGCTGGCGCCACAGGTAGATGCTTAGCCTACTAAGCCACAGTGCCAGCCCCTGAGTTCAGACTGTAACAGAGACCTCACTAACTACATGGCCAGAGGAGTTTGCATCCACTTAAATGGTTTTAAAGTCCTTATGCTTCTGCCAGTTTGATTTGGTTTGGCTTTTTTTTTCCCACTCAAGAAAAATGTCTTCCTATGTGGCCTTTTTTTCTCTCTATGATTTCTTTCTGTTTTTAAAATTTTTATTTGAAAGGTAAATGATAGATATCTTTCATCTATAGGTTCACTTCCCAAATGCCTGCTACAGCCATGTCTGGGCCAAGCAGAAGCCAGGAGCCTGTGATTCAGTTCAGGGCTCCCAAATGGACAGCAGGGTCCCAAATACTTGAGCCATCAGTTCTTCCTTTCAGGTGCACACTAGTGGGAAGCTGGAATCAGAAGTGAAGCCAGTACCCAAATCAGGGACTCTAATAGGGGATTCAGGTGTTGCAAGCAGTTTCTTAACCTTAGTGCCAAACATTCACTGCTCTCTGATTTTATGTGATTATTTTCTGTGTCTTTGCCTGCATTGCCTCCAGGTCATGGACATGGATGGATTTTATAATTTTTTTGCCTTTTCTCATGCAGTGTCTTCTGTCAGTCTCCCTACATGTGAGCCTGAAACAGGATTTGAGTGCACAACTTATTGGAGAGTACTCTCAGAAGAAACACAATGAAGGAAGCAACATAGAACAAGGAAGAAAGCTGAACATGGTGTGGTCTTATCTGGAGTTGAGCTTCAGCATGATCGTAGGGAGAGCCTTAAAACATGAACTGTACCATGCAGTCGATCCCACTGTGAGGTAAGGGAAGAGTAATTTGCACACATATTCAGCAGCCAACAGAGCACTAAAAAGAATCCACTAAAGGAAATTTGAGAGGGTGTATTTGTGTGTATAATAGGCATAGAACAGATTTTTTTTTAATGATTTCTATTTATTGTTTGACAGAGACAAAGAAAGATCTGTCTGTTGGCCCACTCCCCAGATAGTCACAGCAGCCAGGGTTAGACCAGGCCAAAGTCAGGAGTTGGGAACTTGATCTGGGTCTCCTGCATGGGTGACAGGGACCCAACTACTTGAACCATCACCTGATGCCTTCTAGGGCATCAGTAGGAAACTGGGATCAGAAGCAGAACTGGACTCAAACCTAGGTACTCTGATGTTGGATGCTGCTGTCCCGAACACCCACCAAACACCCACCCCTCAGCAGATATGTATTGAACATCTGCTATATAGCAAGGACTGAAAAATACCATAGTAGGATCTATCTGATTGGCCATATGACCTCCCCAAGAAAAACCAGACCTCATTCTGCACAGTTTGCAGCATTAACATGCCAAAGGTCTCCTTATATTTTTAGCCTATATGGGACCAAGCAATTATTTGCTTATAGATATCAGGATCTCATCTAACAATGAGATA